CTCTGTAAATGCATCCCTCTGTAAATGCACGCTACAGCTCATTCCCGAGGGCGTGCATTTATAGAGGGTTGACTGTATATGCCTGTTTATATCTGTAATAAATGGTAGTTAGCAGTACGCAATTATAATTAGTTTACCTTTTGATAAGTTCACAGTTGAATAGTTTTGAATAAATAAGAAATGACAAGTTATTTTTAGAACTGTAAAATCATCGCACAATTATAATACATTCCACAATAAAGTTTGTTTAAGAGCGGAATGTAAATACATATCTTCAATGGACTAAAAAGAAGAGTGATTCGAAAACGCATAAACACATAATAAAAATGTTAACACTGGTAGGCAAGAGGCCTTCGATATATTTTGCGGTAAATTTATATAGTTCGTTTATTGCTTCCGATTTCAGATGATGGATTATTATAAAGTTCGAGCAGATGAAAGGGTTGATATCACAAACATAGCCGGTCGATTTCCGTCTCAACAGAATTATGTTCGGAGAAAGCGTTTTACGTCAGTATGGGTAATGAAGTTCTTGTCGTGTCATTTAATACCTTTTGTACTCGGAGATTTGTTGCAGATGTTACACTTGGATTTGGACGCAAGTTGGTTCGGATCAAAACGGATGAAAGGCCATTTTCGTTCCCAACTAACAAAAGTAGCGTGAGTGTTTATGTACATATACATATACATATATATAGATAAAACCGACCCTTCTTTTCATTAACAGAAAAGGCATAAACAGCAGCTAACCAAAAAAAATTGAAGCCCAGAACGAAATAAAGCGAGAGATACACAGAAAATGTCAAAAATGTCACACTAACATGCATACTTTGAGCCGATGATATTGTTTTATTGTTAAATAAATACTGGAATAATAATATTAATATGTAATGGTAATGCTGAAATTCTGAATATCTATCATCAATCAAATTATTGAACACTGGAAAACTGGTTTTTTCATAAGTTGAATAAAAAAATATCAATCATTTGCATATCAGCTGTAATACCACTACATAGTGCTAAGCTACATACTTTATTAGGCTCATGCAGACATGGTAATAAAAATAAGACAGTGATTGTCCATCTTGGAAATATTTTTATTTGATAGACATATGACATATGTATAAATGTGAAATAATACTAGATAATAAATCAAAATTAAAAATAACACAATAATAACAAAGACATAACACTCAAGGTTAGCACGCTGGGAAGCCCTATTACTATTGAGGTGAATAAACTATTTGACTTGGGTACTTGTTTTGTAATAGATTCCATTCCTCAGGCTTTCCAGTATTTTCAAACTTAAGTTGTTGTAACTTTGGTAAGTCAGCCTCAATGATTGATTGTAGTCCTTTTACCACTGAATATGAACTGTTTTTTATAGAGATGCTTGTCAATTGATGAAACTTGACTGGTACAACATCTGAACCATTTGGACAAAAGTGAACACCTTCCAAAACAATTGACTCTAGAGAATTTGACTGTGACTCCAACAATTTACAGTCATACCTCGTTTATATCCCCACTTTGGGATGGAGCTTTTTTGGGGATATATTTGAGGTGGGATACAACTGAGGTATATATGTGTGTGCAACGTTGTTTAAAGCATGCAATTTTATTGGTTAATAAATTCTGTTAATAAAGTTTGGTGTTTTGACTTTTCTATCGAATTGTCTAAGTGCTGAATTATATTACGTATATATCTTATATCACTTTCTGTTGTAAATTCTCTTTGTTCTAAAAATTTTTTAGTTAATTCGAGAGCTTCTCTTCCCCTTTGTACAGAAATAGTAGCTTCCTCTTCATTGCTTAAGTTTTCTTCAACATGTACTTATACTTGCATTTGCTGCAGGACACCCTCAGCTATAAGAAATTCTTCAAAAATTTCTTCTTCCATAAGCAACTGTGTATTAACCAAACCATCATCTATGTTGACGTACTTGTCTGCTGTTATATTTACCAAGGGATCTGTAAGCTTTAGATTATCATGGGCCAAATACAAAATTAAATTAGCCATAGCTTCATCGATTTCCATTTCGTTTGCATTAATAGGTGCTATTTCTGCAGGTAAAATTCCTGTGTTTTGCCAACATAAACAGTTATTTATTGTACTCTGTTTGACATTATCCCAAGCATCTGCGATTAATTCAATTGCCTCTTTGAGATTTAATTTATTTATCACTTGTCCATCATTTAATTCACAGATCCACTTCATCACCAAGGCATTTCGATAGTAAGATTTAAAATTACGAATAATTCTGGCATCATAATCACAAGGTTGGATTTGAGATGTAGTGTTTGGGGGGAGAAATTCTATTTTTAGGTTTTTTAGACTGAGCAAAGAGCCATCTGTATGTGCAGTACAATAGTGGTCATAATATAATTATATTATGACCACTTAGTCTAGGTTATGACATCTTAGTTAGACTATGACACTAGGTTATGACATCTCAGTTAGGTTATACCCGCTCCCACCCATGAGTTTGCATCATCATTTGCCTGTGTAACCATCGAGGAAGTCAGCCGAGATGTTAGTTGGAAAAGTCAGCCGCTACGTGTGATGATGTGTTTGCGTTTGCGTCATCGTTCGAGTGACGATGCGTTTGTGATTTGTCGTCATTGCAGGGGTTGGCTTGCGGAGTTAGCCTACGGCGTTAACCCGAGTTTGTGATCGCATCGTTATTTGCCTGTGCAACCATCGAGGAAGTTAGCTGAGGGTGTTAGTTGGAAAAGTCAGCCGCTACGAAGTGACGATGTGTTTGCATCGTTATTTGCCGAGGATGTCAACTGAGGTGTTAGCTGAAGTAGTAAATAGTTATGGAGTGACGATGCGTTTGCATTTGCGTCGTTATACGAGTGACGACATGATTGTGCTTGCATTGTCATTTGCCTGTGTAACCATCGAGGATGTCAGCTGAGGGTTAGTTGGAAAAGTCAGCCGCTACGTAGAGTGACGACGAGTTTGCGATTGCGGCGTCATTGCGGGGGTTGGCTTGTGGAGTTGTCAGTAAAGTTGTTTATTTGTCAGTCGTACGGCCAACTGACGACGTGTTTGTGGTTGCATCGTTATTGTAAGAGATTTTTCTGTAATTACGCATTCAAATAAATTCATGGAGAACCGAATAGTTGATGTATCTTGTTCATAATTTTAGACCGATCGAGAATGTATTGCCATTCTCTCTTTCCACCACCTGCTCGTTGACGCCTAATGCTAATTTGCGAAAATTTTTTACCAAGAACGGCGTTACTGCATGGTGTTTTACTATTAACTTTACACCAGGCGGAATACTTTTGATATAAATTCGCTGAATTGAGACTATCGATTCTATTTTCGGGCCATAATAAAATAAAATTAATAAGGAACTGAATATGGTCGGGATAAACTAAAATTGATGAGGCAAATTCCCGAGTCTTTGGCTCATGCGATTTAATATCTACTATATCTTCGTCAGCTGTATAATATTCTTCATCAGAGCTTGACATTGTACATGCGTTTGGAATGTATAGGTGAATCTCAAAAAATTTCTGTAAGTTACTTCTGTATGTAGCGCGTATCTTTAATATCAAATAATCCGTCCTAATTGTTCTAGGACACGTCCTATTACAAAAAATGTTACTTAGGACGGGAAAAAGTCTTATTTTCGTGATTTACCTTGTTATTTTCGTGATTTACCTTGTTATTTTCGTGATTTACCTTGTTATTCTATTATTTTTATAAATCCGTCCTAGTTGTCCTAATAAAAAGTAATATTCTAGGAAAAAAAATAAAATTTATCCACTCATGATACATCTATACTATACATATGATGTATACATGCTATATACGTATAATATATACTATGTATATCTATAGATAAAAAAAGCGAGAAAAAAAGTAAGAAGATCTGAGATTTTATTAGGACAACTAGGACACATAGGACGAGTGGTCTGAAACTTCCCTATTTAGGTCGAAACTACTATAAATTTTATCTATTGGTCGTAGAAATTGTCTATTTAGCTCTCATTTCATCTTTTGGTCCGTCCTAAGTAAAAAAAAGTTACTTAAGACGGCAATATATTTTTAGGACGGATTTTTATCCTGCAGTAGTACCACAGCGGGGCGCCTGCAAAGCGACTACTATTTTACAGTAAGTATTTCGAGGCCGTACGGCAGAAATATAAATTACTCACCTCTTTTTTGCAGTGATACTACGGCAAACCGTGCGCTTACGCGCCACTCTCAGATATGTTCTGGGTCATTTTTGCTAACTTTTTTCGATAATAATGCGCTCTAGAATGATATTTTCCTACGTGTAAATTACATAATTTATACTCGGAGGCAGTTGGCCTACCACATTGCTCACAAGAGTTACGTTGGCGTCTTTTCCAATGGATAGCACAACCTTCTTGCCGATAACAAGACCTATTGCAAATTTTCTTGTCGTTTGTAATATACTGACAAAGATAAATTCCCACCATTGAATTTCATACAAAGTGCGTATCGAATTCAAAATACCGTCTGGTAATAAAATTGTTAGGTAATAATAACGAATAAATATTTTTTAATTTGAACATTTTTCTTAGGGTTATATAATAAAAGTTTCAAATACCCTTTCATAAAATGGACACCCAAAACACTACCGAAATGCATGCTTCTTGTGTAACCTCTGAGCTTGGCGGTGATTGCGCCGCCTTCTACCACCGTACGGCTCCAGAAGGTACACAGATAGACAAACCATCACTTCCATGCGCACTCCGTGCGTTCCGATATACCGGAGAAAATTATTTACCGGGCATTCCTACTCGTAATGATATAGTCGCAGAGAATAACAAAGGGTCGACCGCTATGCTTGAACAGGCCCTAGCTAATTATCAAGATATACCGTTCATGCCTGTGGATATCGAAGAGACTAACGAATATATAAATGGAATTCCTCATTATGCTTTACGCTTATATGGAACTCTTATTAATGGTCAAAAAGCGGTTGTGACGATTACCGGTATTAAAGTTTTCTTCGACATCCGTGTTCCTGACAATAAAGACACAGAGGTGTTCGAGACCGAAATAAAGAATATTCTTGCTAGCGACAAAGATGACGCTGGAAAGACTGTAGACATAGGTAAGGTTCAGATAGAGCATGTAAAAGCGTTTCCTATTCGTGGATACCATGCGGAAAGAATGTCATATCTTCGTATTTACACTACAAGTACCTTTCAGAGAAAAACAGCTCTAGAGATTATTCTAAAACATAAGCTGGAGACTGCCTCAGACGATATATGCGCGTATTATAGAAAAGTTGCCAGAGAATACAGGATATCGCTTTCCGGGTGGAGTCTGCTAACCAATTATGAATACAATAATAGTAGATTGCCTTATAATGCTCGTTCGCCACTTTGTTCACATGCTTTCTATGTATCTATCAATAATTTCCGGTTTGTAGAGGACCCTTCAAAATTATATAAGACTTGCTCTCCATCATTTATTACACATGATCGAACATTGGTTCTCGCTTGGGATATTGAAACACACACAACGCGCGGATTAGAATATCTTCCTATGGCCAAATACAAAGAAGACACCGTCTTTATGATTTGTATGACTGTTCATTGGAAAGACGATCCAGCACCATTAAAACAAATCTGCCTCGTCGATGTAGAGATAGCGCCGAATCCAAATCAGATTACAGTCGTATGTGGAAATGAGGAAAATTTGTTAAAAGCGTTTGCGTTATGTTGGAGAGCACTAGCTCCTGATATCGAAATTACCTATAATGGATCCAAGTATGATTGGCCATTCGTAGTAGAAAGGGCGGCCCAGTTAAAGATTTTAGATTGGATGTTTACGCAAATGTCGGGAAACTCACGCAAAAATATAGCTATTGACAGTATTCTCCGTTGGAATTACTATGGCGGGGTAGGCGAACCATTTAATAAAGATTTCTTCCGTAACGAAGGAACATGGGCGAAATCTTTGAGAAAGGAAGATAAAGATAACAAAAAAATAAAGAATCGTGAGGGTATCGAAATTAAAATCTCTCCAGATGAAAATTTCAAATCCGCTTTCCTTAAACTTCCAGGTTGTGTTCCAATCGATGTAATAGTGTGTTTTAAAAAGCTTTACCCGCGTTCGGAAAAAAATTCACTTAATCATCACTTGAAGACCCATAGTCTTGATAGTAAAATAGATATGCCTATAAAAGACATGAGAAAATACTACGAGCAAAGCAAAAGAACTATCACGTCCGAAACTAGAGAAAATATGTATAAGATTGCGGAATACTGTCTTGTCGATTCTATATCTTGTCAGCGACTCATGGTTAAGAGAAATGTAATAAATGATTACAGAGAGGTAGCCTCAATCGCATATGTATCTTTATACGATTCACATTTCTATGCCGGAGGTATGAAGGTATGCAATCTATTAGGTGCCGAAGCTTGGAAACGGGATATTCTGATTAGTATGATTTTGTCCGAGAAGCCAGAATCGGGTAAATTTCCTGGTGCTTACGTATTTCCTCCAGACAAAGGCCTAGAAAACAAACGCCCCGTAACTGGTCTAGATTTTGCATCTTTATATCCGAGCATTATCATGACATATAATCTCTCGCCCGAAAAAATAACTTTATCAGCAGAAGAAGCAGACGCTCTCATGAAAAAAAACAAAAGTCTTCATGAAATTGAATTTCCTTTTAATGGCCGAACACTGCGCGCATGGTCGGTACGACATGAAAATATAGACGACAAGAAGGGTTTATATCCAGTAGTATTGGAAGATCTTCTGAGTAAACGAAACGAGATGAAAATACGGCTCGCCGTACTTGCAAAGAAAAAGGAACATCTGGAGACTAAAGAAACCTTATCAATTTTCGAAAAAACAGAATATAATTCTATTTGCTTTGAATATAATTGCCTAGATTCGAAACAAAAAGCAGTAAAATTATGTATGAATACTTTTTATGGAGAAGCGGGTAACAGTATTTCCCCACTTTTCTTCCTACAATTGGCTGGCGGCGTCACATCGGCGGGACAGCGCAATATCAAGCTCATTGCAGAATATGTAACTAAGAAAGGTTTCAGGATCAAATACGGCGATACAGACTCTTTGTATCTTACTTGCCCTGATAGATATTACGAAAAATGCGATCTAGCTTACAGTAATGGAAAAGGTGTTATCTCAAAATTAGATTATTGGACCGAAATGGTTAATATTACTATGGATGTAATGGAGAAATTACGTAATGATGTGAACGCATATCTTAAAATAAAAAGTAGATCGACTTACCTCAAAATGTCATATGAGGGGGTATTGTTTCCTGTTTGTTTTACTGGTAAAAAGAAATATTTCGGTGTTAAGCACGAAAGAGAGGTAAATTTCAAACCAAAAAAACTCTTTATCAAAGGAATCGATACCATCAAACAAGGACAATCCCAACTGTTTAAGACTATAGGAAACCGAATCATGTGGGGAGCGATGGAAATCAATAATGAACGTTCACTCCATCAAATCGTCGAAGATGTTCTTAAAGAGGCTATATCTAATCCTAAACAATGGATTTTTGATCAGTTTATAGAGACCGATGCATGGAAACCCAGTGTAAATAACCTACGTGTCCAGCGTTTTATGGGGAGGATGAGTGAAAAATATAAAAATAAAATTCCAGAACCGGGTGAGCGATTTAGTTATGTAATGGTTAAACCAGATGCGATTTTCGATTTATCTGGTAAAAAACTTCAGTTAAGGAAAGCTGATCAAATGGAATTTGCTGAAGTAGCTAAGGAACTTAGCAAGGAATTAGATTTATCATACTACTTTGAAAATACGATTATCGGTCTGTGTGCCCGATTTATTATGTATGACAAGAGATATGAACCAGTACCTTCAGATAAAATTTTGCAAATTAAAGATTCGGATAAAAAGTATAAACAAATCGACAACTACGCCCAAAGCCAAGCCAAAAAATGGCTCGAAAAATACATAAACGAATTAAATGGGATTACGTCCGATATGATGCGCGCTCGTGGACACGCATACAAACGCGCCTATAAAAATGCTATCAAAATAGCGAGAACATTATTATACCAGAAGATAGGTGACGCATACGAGATCTTTCATGGTAATTGGTTAAACTTCGAGGATTTCAAGGTGAGCAATCCCGTTGACAGGTTATGGGAAAAGCTAATAAAGAGTTTTGCCACCGATGAAGGTGTCTTCGTGGACGATGAGACTCACGGAGTGAGGAGACTTTCGCCTCTAAAAAAGTCTATATGTGCTGGCTTTACCAAGTGCGTAATTGAACTCATTCCAATTGTCAAGACATATGACGCATTTTTCCATAAATTAGTATACCATATGCGTTATAAAGAGCACGTATCCATTCCCGAAAAAATTGGCGCACCAGAAACTCTGAGAAAAAATGAGATAACAACTGAACAACCTACTTTACCCTGTATATCAGAAGCCGATCAAATGGCGCTTGACGGTTTTCTAAATGCATGGAATAAGGCAGTTAACTTATGCACAAAGCGCGCGCTTTGTAAGTAATTAAGAGGCAAAATCTCCTCGTCCCTGTGTAACGACTGCGAGTCGTTTCAGCAGTAGTTATTGTCTATACCAACTATTTTATATGATGCGGTGTGTGCACAGAAAAATGACCGGAGAATCGCGCAGAGCGCGCACGGAAGTGTCAAGTTTGTGTTTGATGAAATGAAAAATGTTTCTGGGGTACTACTGAATTTAATTCCCAATTATGTGGTCTCTGACTTATACTTTTTCGGTTTTCCCACATAGGTTTCAGAACAGTAAGTAATATAATCGCGATAAGTAAGAGAGTAAGAAAAGTAAACAGTAAACCTAAACAACTTGCGGTGGTACCACTGGTAATCGGGTTTGCCTCTATTCCTCCAATAGACGTACGCGAGTCGTATTCCGTCTTCTCTATATTCTGTATCCGTACGGCCGAGCTATTTATATAACTCTTCTTCTTGCTATCGGTATTATTTTTTTCTGTTACTGTGGAGCTAGTAGAAATTTTACGTAAATTATCTGGCTCTGTGGTTGAGGGTAAAGAAAAAGACGATTTATCGGATGACGCCTGTGCATTCTGTGTATTTTCACTACTTTTTATCTCGCAAAGCGAACTCTCTCCGAGAGCTGATGGGTCTTTAAACTCGCCGCTTTTGAGTGGTACCACAGTCTCTGAACTTGGCTTTTTAACCAAAAAAGGGAGAAGACTAAACTCAGGAACATCCTCGTTCTGCGGTGATACCACTGAATCAATTGTTGGGGCATCAAGCTCCTGTCGTACGGCCTCGCTTTGCGTATTTTTTATTGTGGAATCGATGGGGGTCTGCCCCTGTTGTACGGCCTCGACATCTCCACCAATCATTACAGAGAAAGTCGTTGGGGGGTTCTCCGATTTCAGACGCTCAAGTTCATCGACCTTCGATTCCAATTCGCTCTTTATATTTCCTAATTCCGCTATTTTGGAGTTGAGAGATAAAATCTCAGATTCTT